GGGAGCAATAAGAAGAAGGGGGGTAAGAAGAACAGGTGGGGAGTAAGACGACCAAGGGGGGAAGTATGAAGAACACAGGGAGGAGGGGGGTAAGACGAACACAGGGGGTGTGAGGAGAACACATAGAGGGAGGAGTGAGAAGAACACAGGGAGGGTGGAGGGGGGATGAGAAGAGCACAGGGAGGGTAGGTGAGTGTGAGAAGAGACCGCTAGGGGAGGGTGGGGGAGAGGAGAGACCACTAAAGGTGCAGGGGAGAGCTCTACGGGACAGAAGGGGCAGCTCTATAGGACAGGAGCCAAGACAGGGAGCTCTTTCACACTACAGCAGCACACACAATGCATCCCTATACATACACAGAAACACAACATGCTTCCCTTACACACAGAGAAGCACACAATGCATCCATTACACACACACACACAATGCAACCCTTACACACAAAGACAATACATCCTTTGCACACATACACAGAAACAGACAATGCAAACCCGTACACACGCATGCAAACACACACACTTCTTTTCTTACATACACACAGAAACACAATGCATCTCATGCACACACATACAGACACACACCTTGCATCCCTTATGCATACAAACACAAATTCACACAATGCATCCCTTACACACAACCAGAAACACATAATACATCCCTTATACACAAATACACACTGCTTCCACTACACACAAACACACTGCATCACCTGCAAGCAAGCTAACCCTACTTTTACCATAAGCACATATCCAGATCCTCTACAGCCAACACACTAACATCCCCTACACTCCCTCCCTGTGGCTTGAGCTTTCATGGGTAGGTGGAAACTTATAAGTGGGCACTTATGGGCATACTCACCCGTCCAGGCAGGGCCCCAGGAGCCTTGAGCTGTGTAAGGGGCCCCATAAAATGGAGCTGCTTCCAATTCTCCCAGAACATTGAATTTTGTGACCACAGTTGCAAACAGCCTCCAGAGATCCTGTTCTACACCAGACCAGTGGAGCCAAACTGCAGCCCATCATCATCCTCATCTGCTTGTAAGTAGGCAATCTAGTATATTATTAGTGACACTAATCTCTAATGTACCTCACATTAAAGGGACACTATAGCTTAATGAAGTGGTTCTGGTGTCTATAGCTGGTCCCTGCAGGCTTTTTTAATGTAAACACACACTGTGTGCAGCACTGGCGTTAGTTCATATGGGTGGGGCATTGTGATGTCACATGGGGGGGCAGCAAATTTTTATTTTGTCTAGGGCGGCAAAAATCCTTGCACCGGCACTGATCCTGGGGAGGTGCACCAGTCTACTGGTGACCCACAGGAGAGGAGTGCACTGATTGCACTGCACTCTCCTCCTGCCCAGACCCATCTTTACCGCAGTGCAAGTGCCCTCTGCCCCTAATTTACAGTGGCTCACACTCACAACAAGCAGTGCCTGGAGCCGTGAAGGAGCGGGTATGGCAAAGAGCTACTGATTAGCATAACATCAATATCCGTTATAAAACCAGGAAAAGGTGGGCATGGATGGTGAACTGATTTGGTGGTGCAATGGGCCACTTGACTGGTTTTGCCCCCCAGGCCTAAGGCTGCCAGCCCTCCCCTGTGGAGGACAGTAGGTCCCCCCCTTATTGTTTAGGGCCCCCACTCACCGCTTAGGTCCCCCCCCACCATTCTTATATAGGGCCCACACCCGCTGCGCAGGGGTGGGGGCCGGGGAGGTGGACAATAGGTTTCCCTCTTATTGTTATTTAGGGGGCCCTCACCCGCTACCTGGGGGGGGGGGTTAGTTTTTTTTTTTTACAGCCACAGGCTGCTCACTGTGTAACAGACATGCCCCTACTCGCGGTATAGTGAGTAGAGGCAGAATTTACTAATACCAAGTAATCTTTACTTAGTATTAGTAAATGTGGCTGAAAGACCAATTTAGGTCTTTCAGCCTTTTGGTAGATAGCTCTGTGATACATTGGGAATTAGGGAGTTATCTACTAAGCGGCTGCAAAATGCAGCCGCGGCAATGAATAAGATCGGAGTTTCATTCATTCGAATGAAATTCCGATATGAACAAAGTCCCGAATTGCATTCTAACACGAATGGAGAAACTGTTAGAACACGATTCTGCAGTTTTGCTGGCGTCCTGTCAAAGTGACAGCAAGCATCGTGGGAACAGGGAGGAAAGGTAAGGATTGTGGAAAAATTGCTGTGACCACTGGAAACGAAGCACACTTTGCTGCTCCACTGGTCACTGCGTTGGAAACCTCCATAAGAGAAATAGTCCCTACTTTTTCTTAAGTTTTAAAGAAAACTAGAGCAGATAGGAAGAAATGAAGAACAGATCCTGAGAGAGGGAGAGAAGAGGACTCGATTGCGGAAAGGAAAGTTCGCCATGACAGTGCCGCTTTAAATGTTGCTATCATATCCCCCTGTGTCATCTTTCCTCCAAGCTTTACATGTTAAGATCCTTTAACCTTTCCTTGTAAGTTTTATCCTGCAATCCATGAACCAGTTTAGTAGCCCTTCTCTGAAATCTCTCTAAAGTATCAATATCCTTCTGGAGATACGGTCTCCAGTACTGCATACCCCATTTTGAATACTGGGTTGTCTACTTTTACAAATGATATGCCATGATTAATTTTCATTCCTGGGCTGCCATACAGTCTCAAAGGCAACATAGGCCCAGCAAACTAGTCTGGCAAATTTCAATGTGCAAACATGGAAAAGGGGAAAGCCCTACATTTGACCCCTGTAAGTTTGCAAAAACCCATAAAACCTGTAGATTGTAGGTACTGTTGTACTCAGGAGATGTTGCAGAACACATATTGGGGTGTTCTTTGTCAGTAACACATAACAGGAACTGAGAATCCATGCCTAAAGTACAATGTGAGAGAAAAAAAAATGACTACCCAAATATTTGACAAAGACTGGTGGTAGAATTAGCGCATGAGAAGTGTTAAAATACCACCATTTGAAATACCCTAGAGTGTCTACTTTTCAAAAATATGTGGTTTGATGGGGGTAAATTACATTGGCCAGCTTCAAAAATGTCCCAAATAGGACATGGGCGCATGATGACCAGCTGTGAAAACTCCAAGTTGGGAAAACTGGAATGCGCTCGCTCCAAATAAGGTCTTTTAGACCCCAGAGAACCCGACATACCTATACATGGGTGGTATGATAGTACTAAGGAGATGTTGCTGAACACATATTGTTGTTTGGCAGTAAACCTTATAGTTCTCAGCACATGTATTCTTAAGTTGCTTAGGTGTCAAAAAATCACCAATTATCATTATTTTTTTAAATTTGGCATAGAATGGTGATAAAATGGTTGCATGAAAAGAGTCAAAATACCCCAAGTTTAATACGTTAGGTTGTCTTCTTTTAAAAAATATATACATGTTAAGGGTTATTAGTGTTACAATGTAACTTTCAAAATTTTGAGAGAAAAAAAATGGTTTGGAAATAGCAAAGTGCTACTTGTACTTATTGCCCTACAACTTGCGGGAAAAAAAAAGCTAAGAACATGTTAACATTGGGTATTTCTAAACTCAGGAAAAAATGTAGAAACTACTTAGCATGGGTGTTTTTTGGCGGTTGTAGATACGCAACAGATTTTGGGAGTCAAATTTAGAAAAAGTGTGTTTTTGTTCATATTTGACAATTTTTTTTTATTTATAGTAAATTATACGATATGATAAAAATAATGGTATCTTTAGAAAGACCATTTAATGGCGAGAAAAACGGTATATAATGTGTGGGTACAGTAAATGGATAAGAGGAAAATTACAGCTAAACACAAACACCGCAGAAATTTAAAAACAGCCCTGGTCCTTAATGGTAAGAAAATTTAAAAACGGTCTGGTCACTAAGGGTTTAACACCTGCGCTAACAAATTCCTATATGTTTTTAAATACCAAAAATTAGAAAGCACAGGGCGCCAAAGTCATTATATCGGCAATATTAAATAGGGGTTTAAAAAGGAGTGTAGATGATGAGGTAAAGAACAGCAAGAGTTTATTAATAGCAAAGTATACACACTCACAGCACACTCAATGTGCAATACATCAAGAATATAAAAATATATAAGTAAAAAAAAAGGCCACAATGGGCCAGGGACCCTTAGGTACAGCAGCTTAACACAACATGGTACTGGACTTCATGAAAAAGTGCTAGTGCCAAAGTGCAAGTCAAATAGAAATATTGCACATTGAGTGTGTATACTTTATGTTGGGGGGACCTAATATTTCCCTCCTGCCCCCATTTATGGGCGACAGGTGGGGGCTAAATGAAAAAAGTCACTAGTCACAGTCCCGCCTAAAAATGATAAAATAAAACCCTACCTACCCCCTCACCCTAAAAATAGTGAGATGGGGACAAAAAAAATTAAATACCTTTAAATAAAAAAAAAACTCATTTGATGTCTTCCTTTTTTTCTAAAACCTTATTTTTCAGCCCCCAAAAAGGCCAAATTAAAATCCACTAAGCACGTTGTTCTTATAAAATAAAAAAAAACCAGAGTGCAAAAAAAAAAAAAACGCACCAAAATGAAAAATCCTGACGCCCAAAAAAAAAAAAAAACCATCTTCACCCAGCGAGGGCACCGCGCAGACTGAGCTCCGCAGGACAGGGGAAGGTTTAATAAGCTTTCCCACGCCCTACAATTTGACTAATATTGCTATGATAGGTAAATAGTGAGCCTTACAGGTAACCAGTCAGGTTTAGACTTGAATACAAGTAAGATTTCTAAATGGTTGGGATCTCCCCCATTGTCTTTTAGGGCCCCCACCCGCCGCTCCTGCGTGGGGGCCGGGGTGAGGACAAAGGTCACCCTCCCAACTGTATTTTAGGGCCCCCACCCGCCACTCCTGCGTGGAGGCCGGGGAGAGGACAAAGGTCTTTCTCTCCCCCCCACCCACCCCCACTGTCTTCTAGGAGCCCCACCCGCCAGTCATGGGTGGGGGCCGGGGGGAGGACAATAGGTCCTTTCCCCCCATTGTAATTTAGGGCTCATGAGTGGCAGCGGGGGTGGGGGGGAAGGACAGTTGGCCCTACCCCCTCGTTGTCTTTTAGGGCCGCAGCTCATGGGTCCCCACATAGGTCCTTTCCCACCATTGTCTTCTAGGAGCCCCACCCGCCGGTCATGGGTGGGGGGCGGGGGGAGGACAATAGGTCCTTTCCCCCATTGTCATTTAGGGCTCATTGGTGGCGGTGGGGGGAGGGGGGGGGCAGTTGGTCCTACCCCCTCATTGTCTTTTAGGGCCGCAGCTCATGGGTCCCCACATAGGTCCTTTCACGCCATTGTCTTTTATGAACTCCACTCGCCGCTCATGGGTGGGGTCTGGGGAACTATGTCCCTCTTTTAATTAAATAGCCACCAATCTTGGTCTTTCAGCATTTTTGGTAGATGGCCCCCTAATTCCCACAGTATTAGGGAGGTATCTACTAATCAGCTGCAAGATGCAACCGCAGCACGGGTCAGATTGGAATTTCATTCATTCTAATGAAATTTCGAACCGAACTAAATATTAAAGTTAAAACCTTGAAAAATATGGCATGCTGTGATTACAACTTTAATAGTAGTTACAGGTTCCAAAACCACTACACAAATGCAAATGTGTGTAGAAAGTACATCTCCTAGGCTATGTAATTACAAACATTTAACCATTTTATTACAAATTAGTTTTTTTTTTTTCTTTCAACATATGTTCCACTACTGCAAACACTGCATGCTTGTATTCTGCTATTAGTCTTGAGTACATTGATACCTCACATATATACCTTTCCATTATCCTCCCTCTAATCCAATGCTAATCTGACCTTAATCCAACCCATAGTCATACTCCTAATCCCAGTCTTAATCCAACCCCTTTATCCCACCTCTCTACTGTCAGTACTGACTTCAGCAGAGGGATTTCCTAGCTCATGCGGTGCAGAGGGATCTGTACTTTGTGATTGCAGCATGAGAGGGAGAGCTCCTCACATAGAGCTTGGTGCTGGGCAGCTGGAAAAGCCCTGCAGGGGGCAAGCAGAGACTGGTGTTAGGGGGACCTTGACAGAAGGGAAGACACTGTTTGTTTTTGTTTTTTTAAACTGACAAAGAAATGGGTTAATGCTGCCACACTGAAAATGTAGAATCTGTAGACTTAGTACACTGTAGTGGTTG